CCCCTACCCTCCCTCCCCCTGTTTGAATTTCATCCTGGGGAGAACCCTGCACTGCCATTGTCATTGTGAGTATCAGGAACTAGCTAGAGTAAATTGCTTGCTATATAAGCAGGGGTTGTTTAGTATAGGGATATTCTAACCCTAGCAAAGACCGTTTCTTGGAGCTAGTAGTAGTACTATACTATATAGTATTAGTACTAGTAGTAGTAGCTCTAGTACTATAGTAGTAACTAGTAGTAGTAGTACTAGTAGTCTAGTACTAGTAGTAGTAGTGCTAGTACTTAGTAGTAGTAGTAGTAGTAGTAGTACTTACTAGTAATTATTGTAACACGTACTTGTAGTAATATAAGTATTCGTAGGTGTGGATACAATTGTATGACCCTGAGTAAAGACCTGTGTAAACACAATTTGTTGTGTAGTCGAGTAAACAGTGTCTCGCCATGCTCTCTATCCTTGTACCGAACTGTCAACCAGGTACGAGTCTAGGTTATAGCGGGCCGAGCTGCCTGCACGGAAAGTGCTCGCCAAATGCTATGCATATAGCCTCGTTGCGCCATCTATCGCACGCCATATGTACTACACTGATGTACACTGATGTACAGTGATGTCAACAAAAAAGTTAAACTGCGTTTTTTACAGCAAACAAAGCACGCCAAGTAGCGAAAAATTTTGTACAGGCATTTCGAGGAAATGTCTAGCTACCTGGGTAGTGAAACCGATCGTGCAATGGCCAGAACTGCTCAATTCAGCGATTGCACCGTTTCTGCGTATATAGTGGACCCGTTGATTGCGTAGAATCGGTGCAGCGCGGTTGTGTTAGTGTGCTGCTACGCGGCGTTTTTTCGCGCTTCGCGTGGATATCCGGGCTGCCAATCGTCCAGATCCAGATCCAGAATACTGAGTGTAACGGGCTTTTTATATAACAATAACATGCGTCTAAACAGAGGAATTGCTCCGACTTGTGATTGGAGGATAAAAATAGAATTCGTGACGTTTTGTTCTCATTTTGGCATTTAGCCTATGACTCGAGTATGAGCAGTACCGCGCATACATATTTGCTCATTAATTAAGCTAATCGCCCTTCATTAAACCAAAGAGCTTATAATGATCATTATAAGCTCTTTGATTAAAAACTCGAGACTCACAGGGATCATAGCTAAGACATGTGTCTATATAATAGCTAGAATTTAAAGCAATGTAACTCAAATCGTTTGCGCCATATGATAGTTGGTATTTAGTACACTTTCCTACGGGCCATAGCCGCGCGTATATTAGCCTATGAGCGATACCGCGCGTGCATATTTGCTAATTAATTAGACTAATCGCACTTCAATAAACTCAAAATTCACGGAGATTAAGGCTAACACATGTCTCTATAATAGCTAGAATTTATAGAAATGTAACTCAAATCGTTTGCGCCATATGACAGTTAGAACACTTTCCTACCGGTCATAGCATAATAGCAGGAGTAGATAATAGGGAAGGAGTGTGACATCAATAAACAAGGGAAATTCGTCATTTACTAGCCTTATAATACCTACAATTTACTAGCCTTATAATACCTACAATTTACTACGCGTAACTCATCCAACTTGAGCTCAAATCGTACACAGTACATTCGTCTAGCATTGTGCGAAATCGTTTCCTCGTTTACACAAGCAATCCGGAGATACAGACTAAAACGTACGACACGATTATCCATTCTTTGGCCATCAATCCAAGCCGATTCCCCGAATATATTCAAACAAAAGGCAGCTGCTAACGTGCTATTGCTAACTCGGCGAGGCATGTGGCTCGCTGGGAGATTAGGCATCAACACTCGGCGAGATAACCTTTGACCCGGTACACAGCTACATGCCGGCATACCGGCGTACAGCAGCCCCCACTGCACATACTGGCATGTCCCCATGCACGCACGCCTACCAGTGTCATCAACAAACACTTCCAATTGAATCGTGAACTCCTGGCATCGAGATTTGTTAAATAGCATTATCTGTGCTTAAACTTGCTGAGGGTGATGCTAAACCATTTTTGGAATTCATGTAATGTAAAAAACGGGAAGCTGGTATCCGATCCCTTCTCCGTAGTGATGATATTTCCTGTGAGTCTCCTGCATCGAAAGCTTGTTTGTTCAGTAATCAATTCAAGTCGGGTTTCTCTACTTCTTGTGTAACTCCTATTCCATGTTTAAACTATATAAGTTCTCCCTGATTAGCAAAATTGATATTTCCCTAATGTACTTGTTACACTAGTACTAGTATCTGGAACTACAAACAATATAATTCGAAATTGTATTTACAAGAGACTCACCTTAGGCCACAATTAAAAAAAATATTTGTTTGCCCTCACCCTACCCAGGCTGAAAAGTTTGGGTAGGTAGGTCGGCTTTTCTTTTTCTTTCTTTGGGCGGGGTCTTTTTACAAATTCAGCATGGTGTCTACATGCTCGGGTGTGCTTGTGTTGAGATACCTTTTATGTTGAGTGTTTCTTTTGCTTGGTACATATAATGTATTGCCTATAGATTTATATAATGTACAGTGATACAATTTATTTAAAAAAAAAAAGATCAACATTTTTTGAGCCGGGCCTCTTTTTGATCATGCTGCCATTTTGCATTTGCAGGTATAATGAGTTGAAGGAGGAATTCAGTGAGTTCCAAATTGGGAGCCAGGAGCTGGAATCTGAGCTGGAAAGCCATTTAGAGCAGCTGGAGAAGAAGAACAAGGATCTTCTAAGCAGCAGTGCGCGCCTGCAGATGGACTGCGAAACCTACAGGGTAGGAAGATGCATCTTGTTAACTGTCTCATTTGATTTGACACTTGGCTGTAACATTGGAGCTATAAGTATCAGAAGTAGATAATAGGGAAGGAGTGTGACTTCAATAAACAAGGGAAATTCGTCATTTACAAGCCTTAGAATACTTACGATTTACTACGCGTAACTCAACCAACTTGAGCTCAAATCGTACACAGTACATTCGCCTAGCATCGTGCGAAATCGTTTCCTCGTATACACCCGCAATCCGGAGATACAGACTAAAACGTACGACACGATTCTCCATTTTGTTGCCAGCAAACTGAATGTATAACCCGCCTAACTTGAAACAAAAGGCAGCTACTAACGGGTGGCATAATACGAGCCTCAAGCAGACAGAAAAGTCTGTGTTAAGTGAGCCATGCACCCTTTATAGTGATGATTTATACTTGATTAATCTGACAGCGCATTGTTCAAGTGATTAAATGAACTTGTAACGCTCCTAGCCTGAGATAGACCTTTCACGTAGCATTACCTTCTTCAGCACGCTCCCAGGTCATCGGTCTTTGCTCCAGCTCGCGTATGTTATTGTTTTAAATCGTCTTTCGATTCTGTGTCACCTGTCCAACGTTCCGTCTGCATGCTGGTGATACGCCTGGTGGCTTCCCTGTGCCCAATTTTCCAGCTCTCTGTAACGCCGGTGAAAATGCGCGCCAGCAATACGTGGAATCGCCATGGGATTACCACGATTCATCTTTGCCACACAAAACAGCGGTGATCATCCTAAAACGTGATGCTTCGTGTAATGCTGTGGTGAGCAATTCACACTTGAATGATTTAACGAGCACCTTAATGTAATAGCTCTCAAGCTGTTTTCATGGGTATTGCTCTGACGAAGTGTAAAGCACTTTATCTACCATGAAAAATCATCACGCCAGTTTAACCTGAGTTGTATCCTAAAAAGGTATCATCTTAATACATACCATGTATTATTCCAGTTATTGTGATCTTGACTTATCAGAAGTAGTAATAGGATAGGAGAAAGAGTGTGACTTCAATAAACAAGGGAAAGATTTTGTCATCTACTACCTTAGAATAACCTACGTATTTACTACACGTAACACTCAAGCAATTGAGCTCAAAGTGTACACAGTACATCCGCACTGAGCATCGTGGCGAATCGTTCCTCGTATACACCGCAATTCCGGAGATACAGACTAAAAGTACGACGACGATTTCCTGCATCTGCTGTGTGCCAGCAAACCGAATGCTATAACCCACCTAACTTGAAAAGAAAGGCAGCTATACAGACTCTGGCACTCTTGTTGCCTCGGCTGCTTGGGTGTTGTGGCTTGCTGGGCGACCATTGGACATCGACGCACACTCTGCGAGTAATCTTTGACGATATTTACAGGTGGTATCCCCCCCACGCACGCACGCAGCTGCCCACCCGCAATCAGCAGCAGGCTCCACTCTCAATCTCCCAGGAGCCACATCCTACATCGCCGCGGGGGCACAGAGTGCGCAAGAT